GGAAAGAGCTTTAGAGGTTGAGATCCGGGCAGAGAAAATTTCTGGAATATGGTCAAGGATAAATAGACTTCAGTAAGAGAATCAACTATTTTTATTTGATTCCCTTTTATCCCAAAAACCAAAGTTTAAAGGATTTGTAATTCATTTTTGCTTGCCTTATTTATTTAGCAAACTTTATTATTCTACTAAGTACCATACCATGTGCTTATTATGGAGGTTACAAAGAAGAAAGCTGCAATACCCTCCCAAGGAAATTATTGGGTACCACTGGTCACAGGCAAATATGTGATTTTAACAAGGGCTGCTGGGTGGAGGGCAACTAGAGCTGCCTGAGGGAGAAAGAAAAAGCTCTCAGAGGAAGTCTTTAAATTAAAATTCCATGACCATTACAACATCACCATGATCATTATCATTATCATAACCACAGCTAACAGTAATAACAATTGCTAACATTATCCAACGCTTATTTCATGCCAGATGCTGTGTGAGGCCCTTTATAAGCATTACCTCCTGTAATTGTATAGAATTGTTGCTGTATATGGTATTATGTTTACTTGTGTTTGCACTGTCTGTTCAGGGGTGGTTCTAAATGCCATTGCTACACAACTGGTGAATTGTGATTCTTACCAGAACATTGATTTTCCTACTCTTGCTCCCTTAATAACACACTGGGATTGGCATCATTTAGTCTCAGGCTGAATCACTGACATAAGTAGATTTCCATCCCCTACTCTACTGATACCACTTTGCAAAACACCCTTAGAGAATAAAACCCACTACCTACATACAGCCTGCACAGGGATGGCCTGAATAGTCTTGCTGGATTTATCACAGCATCCCGTTTTCATATCAGCAAAACCCTAAGTGTACAAAGAACTTGAAACATTGTCAGGTTCTCCATAGGAAAATGCAGGCCCCTGCTTTCAAGGTGGTGGCTAGCAATAATAACAGTGACAAAAACAGTAACAATGATAAAGCACGTATAACATTTACTAATCACAAATTGTATTGTAAACTTAATGATTTGAATGTACTAACTGATTTAAACCTTATAGATAGATAGATAGATAGATAGATAGATAGATAGATAGATAGATAGATAGATGATAGATAGATAGATAGGTAGGTAGGTAGATAGATAGATAGATAGATAGATAGATAGATAGATAGATAGATACTTTACCGTCCCTATTCTTTTAAGCTTTTTTTTAAAATATATACTTCAAGTTCTGGGATACATGGGCAGAACGTGCAGATTTGTTACAGAGGTACGCATGTGCCATGGTGGTTTGCTGCACTCATCAACCCATCATCTACATTAGATTTATCTAATTCTATCCCTCCCCTAGTACCCCACCCTCTAATAGGCCCCAGTGTGTGATGTTCCCTTCCCTGTGTACATGTATTCTCACTGTTCAACTCCTACTTATGAGTGAGAACATCCGATGTTTGGTTTTCTCTTCCTATGTTAGTTTGCTGAGAATGATGGTTTCTAGCTTCATCTATGTCTCTGGAAAGGACATGAACATGAACTCATCCTTCTTTATGGCTGCATAGTATTACATGGTGTATATGTGCCACATTTTCTTTATCCAGTCTATCATTGATGGGCATTTGGGTTGGTTCCAAGTCTTTGCTATTTTGAATAGTGCTGCATGCGTGTGTGTCTTTATAATAGTATGATGAATAATTCTTTGGGTATATATCCAGTAACAGGATTGATGAGTCAATTGGAATTTCTGGTTCTAGATCCTTGAGGAATCGTCACAATGGTGGAACTAATCTACATTCCCATCAACAGTGTAAAAGTGTTCCTATTTCTCCACAACCTCACTAGCATCTGTTGTTTCCTGAGTTTTTCATGATCATTATTCTAACTGGCATGAGATGGTATCTCAATGTAGTTTTGTATTGTAGTTTGTATTTCTCTAATGACCAGTGATGAGCATTTTTCATATATTTATTGGCTGCATAAATGTCTTCTTTTGAGAAGTGTTTGTTCATATCCTTTGCTCACTTTTTGATGGGATTGTTTAAATTTGTTTAAGTTCCTTGTAGAGTGTTGATATTAGCCCTTTGTCAGATGGATAGATTGCAAAGATTTTCTCCGATTCTGTAGGTTGCCTGTTCACTCTGATGAAAGGTTCTTTTGACATGCAGAAGCTCTTTAGTTTAATTAGATCCCATTTGTCAATTCTGGCTTTTGCTGCCATTGCTTTTGTTGTTTCAGTCATGAAGTTCTTGCCTATGCCTATGTCCTGAATGCATTGTCTGGTTTACTTCTAGGGTTTTAAAGGTTTTAGGTCTTATGTGTAAGACTTTAATCTGTCTTGAGTTAATTATTATATAAGGTGTAAGGAAGGGGTTCTGTTTCAGTTTTCTGCGTACGGCTAGCCAGTTTTCCCAACACTATTTATTAAGTAGGGAATCCTTTCCCCATTGCTTGTTTTCATCAGGTTTGTCAAAGATCAGGTGGTGGTAGAAGTGTGGTGTTATTTCTGAGGACTGTGTTCTGTTCCATTGGTCTATATATCTGTTTTTGTACCAGTACCATCCTGTTTTTGTTACTGTAGCCTTGTAGAATAGTTTGAAGTCAGCTAATGTGATACCTCCTGCTTTGTTCTTTTTTCCCAGATTCAAATGGAAATACAGAGATCACCCGCCTTCTGTGTTGATCTCGCTGGGAGCGACAGACTGGAACTTTTCCTATTTGGCCATCTTGCCAGTTCCTTACTATCCCCTTTTTAAAGACAGATTAGCCAAGGCCCAGCTGTGTGCTTCTGTTGGGAAGTTGAGTATAAGGTTGGATGTAAGTAGGGAAAGTTCAACTGCAGTTAGTTCTAGTCTTGGTAAGGCCACTATGAGGCACTCCACGTCAAAGCATAGCAAATTAGTAGTTCCCCAGTATTTTCAGAATCAAAATTAAGTTCTTTGTCAAGGTTCTCCCTGATGTGCTCCTGCTTCTTCCCTAATTCAGCACATCCCCAGCTCCATCCATGCACTCCCAACAGATCACAGCTCTTTACATGCCCAGGCTGTGTCTTCTGCACCTTTGTACCTTCTGCACCTTTGTTTCCTTGACCCCAACTGCCCTTTCTTTCCCTCTACATTACCCTTTATCCTCAATTTAGCACCTGTCTCAAGGAGTCACATTCCCCAGGAAGTTTGTCCAGATTTGTTAGTAGGTATTCCATTGCTCCTCCAGTGCTTGACCACTTCTTCTTTACAGATCCCTGCCCAGAAAAATGTGAGCTCACTGACACCAGGGGCTGCAGCTAGTTTATTTTGTAACCCAACATTTAAAAGCACCTATTTGTTGATTTATTGGGAATAGTTAATAAATGAAATCTTTGCAGATCATAACCAAGACCACAGTTCATGATGGTTTCATTATTTTTTGTTACTGTTGGATATGATTCTCTGCTTACTGTCTTCCCTTACTGCTAGCACCTCTAGACATTAGGTACATGGCTCTGACACTAATTAGAATTGATGACTGAGAATGACACTTCCATTTGTTAAGCCAGCATAGTTTTGTTCATTGTGATTTACTTTTTAACCAGCACCCTCTCAGCACTAGCACAAATCTGTGGTCTTTCCATGAGGGTACAATTTGTTCCTTTTATGTCTTGATTCATTACATATTGTCAGGAGTGTTAGCTAAGACTTTCTGCTTTGTGAAAATGTCACCAAATGCACAATAAAGGCGAAGTTACCAGACGTCTGTTCACTAGAAAAATTAAATGCTGGTTTGTGAAGATTCAAGGCTGGCCAGGGCTCCCCACATGTTTCCAGGCCTGAGCTTTGGCTCTGCATTCTCCTTAGGGTCTCATAACTGACCTCCACATTCCAGTTCTGCCATCATGGAAAAATTTGTCAACTTTACTGCTGATGTTAGGCCTAGAAACTGTCATCCATTAGTTTTCTCAGATTCAGGTTGAAAATTGAGACAAACTTCCTATGTAATTTTGACCAGAATAACACATATGTTTATGTGCTATCCCATGATTAACATATTTTTAAAACCACTTTATGGAGGCATGGTTGGCATACAAAAATCTGTGAATATTTAATGTGTACAGCTTCATGAATTTGGAGATATGTTTACATCCATGAAATTATTACTGCATGTATGCCATAAACCTATCACCTACGGAAGTTTACTTTCACTCTCTGTTATTATTTTAACTTAATTTTATTCTTCCTTTGAACTATCAAAACTTTCTCAAGTAATACATAGTTGTCACTTATATAAACTTATTGAAACTTGATTGAAAGTTTTATTTTAGTGCTCAACTTACAGAAGGAAGTAATGAAACCTTTAAAGTGCTCTCCGATTTGTAGCAAGGATCTCTGATGGTGGTGGGAATTGTTCTAGATCAGATTCCAGTTTAGTTTTGTATGTTTCAGGGAGGCAGGAGTTACAGGCAAAGACATAAATCAGTACATGGAAAGTATACATTGGTTTGGCCTGAAAAAGCAGGATGTCTTCAAGTGGGGACTTGCAGGTCAGTTTGGTTCAGAGATTCTTTAATCTGCATTTGGTTAAAGGAACAAAACTTTGCACAAAAGCTTAGAGTTAGCATAAAGAAATATTTAAATTAAAATAAAGATGCTATATCAGAGTCAGCCACAAAATGACCTGTTTAGCAAGCTTTACGGCCTACAGGTATGACTTAACCCTTGCCTTGCATAGCCTAAGGTCTAGTTTATAATTGGTATCTTACTGCCCAAAAAGTCTATCTGGTCAATCTTATGATCTCTGTTTTAACATTAAGGCTGGTCACTTGTGCCTAAACTCCAAAGGGGAGGCATATCTGACCTCCCTTCTCTTTGTGGCCAGGAACCCAGATTTGCAAGTTTCTCTGGGGCCTCCTTGGCCAAGGAAGGGTCCATTCAGTTGGTGGAGGGAACTTAGGATTTTATTTTTAGTTTACACAGGGCCACATCAGATTGTTTTGACAGGGATAACTAATGGTTTTCTTCTCTTTCTGTTTCAGCCACAGCAGCTGTCCTTAGCAGAGTATCCCAGAGTCTGCTAAGTGTTAATCCAGGCCTAAAGACAAGTAAGAATTTCAGTCCTTTTTCTTCCTTCAATGATATTTTCCATGTTTTAGTGTAATTAAGCTACTACCTTTTCTCTATCTTATTTGGGTTATTAGTAACTGGAATGGTGAATGAATTGAAATTTTATAGGCAAACAAAACGTTTTTTAAAGATTTGGTTTTTAACTTCTGATACAGTTTGGATGTACATCCCTTCCAAATCTCATGTGTTCCCCAGTGTTGAAGGTAGAGCCTGGGAGGAGATATTTGGGTTATGTGAGCAGATTCCTCATGAATGGTTTAGCACCATCCTCTCTGGGCTGTCCTCACCACAGTGAGTGAGTTCTCATGAGATCTGGTTGTTTAAACGTGTGCGGCACCTCCCCCTTCAATCTCTTACTCCCAGTCTCACCCTGTGAGACACCTGCTACCCCTTCACGGTGATTGTAGGCTTCCTGAGGCCTTCACCAGAAGCAGATGCTAATACAGCCTGCAGAACTATGAGCCGCTTAAATCACTTTTCTTTATACCCAGCCTCAGGTATGTTTTATAGTGATGAAAACAAACTAATACAACTTCTCTGCAAGGCTGCTTTTTTCTATTTTTGATTATGCTTGGAGGTTAAGTAAGATCAAATTAATGAAGGAGGAAAAAAGAGGAAATGATACATCATGGATCAACAATTATTTATTGAATTTAGGAAACTGCCTCTTTTACAAATTCTTTTTAAAATTATTATCATTATTATCTTGAAGTATTTACCTAATGATTACACTGGTAGAAAGTTAAACTCGTCTCTCCAACCAAATTGCCTTAAGCTTCAAAATTATGCCTTCCTGTAAGGTGTCTCTTCCCTTAAAGTGACTTTACACTTTTCCCCCAGTCTTTTGACAATCTTCTGAACCACAAGACCAAGCCCCAACATCAACTCTGTGAGGAAGCTTCTCTAAATTCTCTAGGCCTGAACAATTTTCTGCCTTCTCTGCTTCCGTTGAACTTTGTGCTTTACTACACGACAGCATTTACCTCCTGACATTTTAGTGTGTGTGTTAGCCCTGCATATACAACTCGCCAGATTGCATGGGCTTCATGAATGAATTAATTCTATTGAACTTTAAGGCAAAGCCTAAATTTTATGTTTCTTCTAAATCCCTTACATATCCTTTAAAAAATTAAACAAGGAGTAGGTACTTGGTTAGTTATATTTTGGGGATGGTTATTTTTCATCTGTGGAAGTATATACTAGAGTCCAGATTATGCAATAAGGGAAGGGAAGACAGTGTACCTAATTCAGTTAAGATACTACTATTCTTGTTGGTAATTCTGGTGTCGTGAAATCATAATTTGAATTTTATGACTAAATTGCAGAATAAATTTCTAATGTGAAATTTAAACATTATTTCCTTGGAGATGACCAAAAAGAAGAAGGGTTGGTACTGTTTTTAACAACTGCCATTCAATTGTCAGTTGTGCCAGACCACAATCCTTTATAGCCCTCCTATTTAAGAAGCATCTGTCATGTTAAGCTGCTCTCTAATTAACACAAGGGTTGTAAAAGAAGTGGCTGTTTGGTTGTGTTTGGATTATCTCAGCCAGTATATTCCAAAGCCTTCCTTCATTCAACAGAAGAGTGTTCTGTTTTATATTCTGTAAGGAAATGAGAAGGAAACAGTTAAAAATGTGTTACCAATGGTACATGCTTCACATTGAAACCCTCCTCCAGACACAAACATAATACTTTGCCCTCCACTGTCCCCTAAAGTGGAAATAGAATTTCTCTGAGTCACTTCCTTTATTAGGTCACAGGGTCTAAAGAAGCGTGAACATTGTGCCTTGTTGAGATAGAACCTCTAGGTATGGAGGATGTGTTGAACAACCCAGTCATTTGGCACATGTTGATTTCCTGTCTTCGTGATAAGTAAGATGACTAGCTAATTATCATTCATATGTGGTAAATCACATAGACACTGACTTCCCCTATCCTTCCAGCTGTTACTTTTCAAAAGTCACCTACTCTCTGTCCCAGGAATAATTGGCTAAAGTAACCTGTATCAATGGATGTGTCTGTAACAGAGGACACCTGTCATAGTATACATGCTTGAACATATCACAAACATCACATCCAGATGTCACAGACCCAAGTGCTCATATAACCTTACTCTGTCACTGTGTACATTGTTACCATTTCACAAATATTTAACAGTCTGCTGTGTACTCTCTGAGGGAGACATCAAGCAGCTCACATTCTCCCTAAAAAGATAATTTCACATGAAAAGTTAGTGTTTAACATGAAATGTTCTGAGAATACGCAATTATAACTTACACATTTCCTACGTGTACTTTTCTAAGTTCTCAGATTCAAAACAAAACCCCATATAAGAAAAATCAAATAAAAATCCTGTCAGGACAAACCCTGTCCAGAACTGACCAAACACACAAAAAAAATGCCTCTGCCCTCTCCAGGCCACCTTTAGTTTATTATACTTGGCCTACTGCAGTGACCACTTAGCAGCTGTCTCCCTCCTCTCTCCTTCCACCCCCTGCCCCATCTCTCCTTCCACCCTCTGCCCCATCTCTCCTTCCACCCCCTGCCCCATCTCTCCTTCCTTGCATACATCTTCCCCAGCCAACAACAATTTTCTTATGTTCTAAGTAAATATCTTTAGTGCTCTCCCTACTACCTAAGCATTACACTTCAAACCTTTCCCAAGACCCTGAACACCCACCCCAGCTTGTAAGTTTAAGCTACTTACCATTCCTCGGGCACACTGTATCTTCCCTCTTCTGATAAACAGCTCATGTCATCAAATCTATCTTCTTCCCACCCACCCTGCATTCTGAAAATATAAATCAGTCCTGCCCACCTTTAAGTTTCAGTCAAAACCTGATACTCATGGCCTGAAGCAGTCACTCCCTTCTCCATGGTGGTCTATGAGAAAGGTATGATATTTCATATCACTTGTGTTAGTCTATAAGAACTACCACAGCAAAGTAGTCCAGAAACAACATAAATTTATTTTCTGAGAGTTCTGGAGGCTAGAAGTCGGAGACCAAGGTGTTGGCAATGTTGGTTTTTCCTGAGCCTCTCTCCTTGTAGCTAGCTGTCTTCTCCCTGTGTTTTCACTCAGTCTTCCCTCTGTATTTGTCTATATCCTAATCCTCTCTTCCTGTAAGGACACTAGTCATATTGGATTAAGATTCACCCTAATAATCTCATTTTACTTAGTTACTTTTTTAAAGACTTTCTTTTTAAATACAGTCGCATTCTGAGGTACTGGGGGTTAGGTCTTCAATATGAATCTCAGGGAGGGTATAGTTCAGTCCTAACACCCATCTTAAGGCATATATAAAATTCTGCTCTGGAGTCCAGTTATTTGCATATATCTCTTGTCTCCCTATTTAAAATATGAACAACTGTGTTTTATTCATAGTTGTATATAATTCATTGACCCTAAAATGGTACTTTGACTGTAGTTAAGTAATAAATGATATTACAAACAAATGAATAAAATAAAAGTATCCATGATAGCTCCTTGGTTACTCATCCTTCACACTTAGCAGTTCCCAGCAGCATTCTTTGTTACCATGGAGGCTCATGTCAGCTGGAGCCATTTATAGAGGCTGAAATATCCTCACCTGTGTATACACATTGTTACTTTGCATGTTCCATTGCTGAAAAGACTTATAGGGATCAAATGGTTTATACTAACAAGACAGCTTTATTGCAGGCAAAAGATACAGTATAGCAATAGTAGAAGGGGGATATGTGTTCACCCAGATCGCAATATTTTAAGCACAGGGCTTTTTGTCTTGGCATTACTGGATCCTACAGATCACACTTTGTCTCCAGGTCTGGAACCACTATTGTGTGTTCCCCAAGCACCTCAGTACCAGGAAGCCCAAAGTCAACCTATGGTGAAGTCTCCTTTAGTGAGCTGGTCATGTAGACACAGTCTTGCTATGTGGCCAGTCTTAACCATCGGACATCACAGCCCTCAGATTCCACCAAAACTAGGTGCAAATCATAAATCCAATTATATTATTAATCAATGTTGACAGGCCAATGCATTTTGTTATGAGCCAACTCATAGATCCATTACTACAGAACCTCATTTATCTTTAGTTAAACAGCATTGGCCAAGCATCAGTAGCTTTGAAGAGACACATATGGTCAAACCAGACCAACTAAAATTAACCCATGCTACGCACCAGCTAAGGAATAACCTCTTGCTGTAACCTCTTTCTTCTCTTGCTCACCAAAAATTATCTGTCCTGTTTGCTAAGCCCTTAGAGCTTTGCTGTGCTGACAAAAGGTCTTAATCCATGTGAATTGTACATATTTGTGTAAGTGACCACATGCTAACATGCCTTTCACAGATTAGATTCTTAAGAAACATTTTCTGGGGGAAAAAAAGACCTATTTTTGGTTAGTAACCCCAGAAGGACCTTTCAGTTCACATACGTGGGTAGCAGCATATTCCACTTATGCAAAGGTCAGCCCAGGGTAAATTTGAGGAAAAACACATACTTAGGATAAGAAGAATGTTGAGGGAGTTTACAGTTTAAAGAGATATGCAGATAACTTTTTATATTTTAAGGAAGTAATGCTATAATTTTACTACAAAGAAAATTTCTTTTTGTTTCTGGGGAGATGGATAAGAAGAGTTTCAATTTCCTAGAGAAAAACGAAACATGTTTAGGACTCCCAAATAAGACAGGCACCTCAGCTGGGGTGCTGTGGTTGCACGTTCTTTGTGTTTTTTTTAAGAATTGTATTTCTCTGTCATGATTGTTTATTGGCAGAGGACTTGATGAGTATTTGGGCCAAATATATAAGACTTTTCAAAACACAGATAGATTAAAAAAAAAAAAGATGATTGCACATCTTTCTGAGGAAGATTTTTCCTCTATTTTAAAAAGTCATTGCCTTTCACTGAATTTGTCATGTATTCCTATAAAAGTGTTAATTTTGTGATTGATAGCATTTTACTATACATATTTACAAAATAAAATGAATATTC